TTGTTACTACTAGTAAGGCACCTGTTACTACTAGCGTGGCACTTGTTTCTACTAGCTTCTTGTTACTACTAGTAAAGCACCTGTTACTACTAGGAAGGGTCGAATTGAAACGGTGGTTTTCACCATTCCGAGCAAACGACGGTTGTTTCGGCTCGTTTCGAAGAGAGTGCGTGTTTTGTAGCGAGGGAAAACCGCCCAGGCTTCCAAGGCGAAGCTAATTAACAGCGGAGATACAGGGAAGTGGACTTTCCAAAGTCAATCTGATTTGGATTGCAAGGTTGAATGCCGCGGCCAGCGCTTGCGGCAAACGTTGGGAGATGGCCTTGACCCTGCTTCCTGAAACTCGTGGGCGTCAAAGACGTGTGGGGCGCAATGCTGTGGCTGCCGGGTTTCTTGGCGCTTTGGGCGCTTTGGGCGCTTTGGGCGCTTTGGGCGACATGTGAAACCCATTGGATCACCACTTTGACAGTGAAAAGGAAGAAAGATCAGAAAGAAGACGGTCCAAAGGTCTAAAGGAAGACCAGATCGCTTCTTAGCACAAAAACATATTCTAATAGCTTCTTGTTACTACTAGTAAGGCACTTGTTACTAGAAGCGATGCACTTGTTCCTAGTAGCTTTTTCTGGTACTTTCACAACAACACGTTTCTTCAACCCTTTCGTGAAGGACTCGTTTGTCGTCGATGCTCTCGTTCTGACTGAGTCGTTTGTCGGAGGTGTGCACAATTGAATCTCTGGCAGGAGGCCAGGGGCCCTCACCAGGTTTTAGATGTGAGAGGTCAGAGGTCAGAGCTGTGTTCAACAAGACCACTGAAGGTTCGATCGAAAGCTTCTCAATATACATCAATATACTATAAGCAGCAGAAGGCAAATATAAAGCAGCTTTATGGCATGTGTTTTCTCAAAAAATGCTCCTGCTTCTAACTATCCCTGGATCTCGGTCGTGACTGTCTCAAACCCAAAGTCGGCATCTCGTGACTATTTCGCGAGGCCTTTTGGCTGGGGATGCACAACATTCTGCCAGATGCCATTGGCTTTCTGTCTGAACAGCTGGTTCAAGTTGGCTGCAAATGTCCAGGCTAGTAGGTTGGAGGCCATTGCTAGTAGGTTGGAGGCCATTGCGATTAGGTTCCGTCTTTTTTCTATAAGGGTATGTCCAGATATTTGGGTTGGGTTTCATTTGTGCCCAGCGTGCCCCCCCAAGAACGATACCCCTGAACAATACCCTGTAGGATTGCAAACAACTCGGTTTGCACAGCAGCAAATTTAACAATTGAACACCAAGTTTGCGTTCGGGATGTGTTTTGGGCTCGGCTTGTGTTCTTGATTGTGTCAAGCTACCTTTTCGCTAGGAGGGATGCGGTCGACACGTTTCAGCCCCCCATTTGAGCTTGTCTCCCTATACGACTTCGGTCGCAGTTCCTAGTCTTTCTGTGTTTTCCAGCTTGCCTCTTTGCATGTGGATGATTGTGTTCCTTCCTTCCCTTGGTTCTTGCATGTTAGCTCTGAAATGCCGAATTGGTCCGAATTGCCCAAAGACGAGTCAGATGCATCTGAGGTTTGAGTGCTTGCTTCAGTGGGCTGGAGCGTGAGGCATCAGCATCGAGCAAAACTTCTTTTGCCAGAAAATAAACTAATAGCGATCGCCTCCATCCTACTAGCGATGGCCTCCATCCTACCAGCGATGGCCTC